CCCCAAAACCCCAAACCCCAAAACCCCAAAACCCCGCGTATATCAAAATTTAATTTGTAAGCAAATTAAATACTTAATAAATTAATCATAATATGTTCCATTAACTTTTATTGTGCTATTAACCTCATTCTTTATGTTTGCTATAATTTACAAAAGAGATATTTGAATTGTCTCTTCTCTTATGCTCAGTAGCTTCCTTTTTAGTTTAAAATAAATTGCTCTTTGCCTTTTATGTATTTGCTTTATTTTCAGATAATTTGTAATCCAAATCATGAGATCCACCAACTTGATTTGTCTTACCCTTTGAGTCAGTTAATTGTATTTTATATGGAGCATGAATCACCACTGTATAGTCTTTTACATCAGATTGAAGCCAGGTTGGAGTAACCTCAACTCGGTATTAACCGGGCTTCAGAGGATTTTCAGTCTGATTGATCCAACCAAAACTGTCCATACTTGACAATGACTTATAGGAAAATTAATTTAGAATCTTTCCAGCACTATCTATACTTACTAGCCTTAAGTCAAGACTAGTGTCATCATCACCGAGAGTCTTACAGTTAAAAGCATACATTCTGGAGCTGTAGATATCCAGTTTAATGATAAGTTAGGTAGTCTTATCAAGCTTAAAATAGTATAATGCTTTCTAGCCGTTATCGTCTTCCTTATTGTACCAAGAAAATTCCCAATTTTTTTAATAATGCGACACTTCTAATTGGTTAAAAGCTTTTACGAATTCTGACTCTTCAACCCACATTATTCCATCATCTGCAATCGTCAGATTAACTTGCTTGTCATATGTTTCCCCATTAGCATTCCAAATAGGGGAAGAATCCTTCCAATTTCCTGTGAAAGAATTGTCTTTTTTCCAAGGATTTCTAAACTTATACATTCTTATCACTTTTGTCCCATTTTTAGAAATCAAATTTTAAGCATCCAAAAGAGTGAATAAATGTCCACAAGGAAGATTGAATATACACTTATCTTTATCGCTTCCAGGTGCAGTTGATACAGTCATTAAAAATTCATTCGTGTCCGAATCATCTACTAGATTCCATAGTGCATCTAAACTAAGACCAGCAACTTTGTAAAACCGAGAAGGAGAGTTAGTAAGGAAACTAACGGGTTCCTATCCAAATCCTCCTCCAATTCTTTCGTAATTTCCATTTAACTTAGCCCAAGCTTTTTCTAGTAGAGAAACCCACATTGATCCATCCTTGCCTATCTGAGCAAATATAGACTTGGTACCAGAGGTCGTTACTGGAAGATAGTCATCTACTGTTATGATAGTTGGTATACCTAATAATAAATGTTGCTAATTATAACAAATATACCTCTAACATAGACATTAAAAGCATAGATACCAGCTTTATTGTTAAGTTCGTTCACAAAAATCTATTTGAATCTTTAATCATCTTCTGCTACTGAGGCAGCCCCTCCAAGAAAGTAGCAATCTCCGACATCACCCTAGTCGATGTCATTTGAGGAGTCTTATGAACCAAACATAGTAGCCCATGGTGTAATCTTAGATATTCTACTCCATGTGTTCTTAAGATACTCCTACAAGTCATTATTTGTCCGACCAGGCCATTATAAAGCTGTTTAATCTGGCTTAAAATTTGAATCAGTATATGGTGCATCTGATTGAATGATACTAGCATAATCTTCTCCTAGACCTTGTTTGAATCACTGAATAGCTGAATCACATTGAAATTGCACAGTTGCAGTTTAAGTGCTAGAAGAAGCTTGCATTTCATCTAGGAATCTCTACATATTAAATTTCCTCTATTAGATAGCTTTTGATCCTATCAATCAAGCTTCAATCAATAGGATCACGATAATGAGTAGTATAGAAATTTTAAGATACTTCATATTTTGTAGATTAATTTTAATATGTCAAAGTTATACTGTAAGATTATCTCAAAATATCCCTCAAGCTATATTATAATTTAAGTGGTATAATAAGTTATTCAAATTAATTTATATTAAATTTCTATTTAATATCAAATCTATCTTATCTCAGCTTTTAGGGGTTTTGGGTTTTTGGGGTTTTGGGG